AACTCTTTCTAGAAAAAACCGACAATCCTTGAAAAAAAATTAAGCATAATCAAGTGAAGTTAAGTTAATAATATTTACAAAAAAAATGGTGCTTAGGCTTAGACTACTTCATCATTAAAACTTTCTAGAAAAAACAAACTTCAATCTTTTAAAATGAAGCACAACCGAGCAAAGTTCAATTAATGAAATTTTAAAAAATCGCTTAACTTAAACCGTTTAATTGTAAACCTCTTTAATAGAAAAAAGTTTAATTTTTTCAAATTAGGCATAATCTAGAGAAGTTGCGTTATTCAAATGTCACAAAATGGTGCTTTAGTTTAAACTACTTTAAATTTAAACTTACTAAAGAAAAAATCTCGGAATTGATCTTCTTTATCTTTAAGCGTACTTCTAGAAATAAAGCTCGGAAAATAAGCGCTAAAACTACTTCTAGAAAAAAACTTTAGGTATCGACCATAGTATTAGAAATATCGACCTCTTTTGCGCTTATAAACACTCTGGACTCTGGATCAAGGTATGGTCTCGAAGAGGAAAACAAAATGATTATGCTGAGGACGAGCATAAAATGGGTCGAAAACTTGGCAGTAGCAACTAAATTTGCTTTCTTCTCCAAGACCATATTTTGATCCGGAGCGTTCGTTAAAAATGATTATGCTGAGGATGAGCATAAAATGGGTCGAAAACTTGGCAGTAGCAACTAAATTTGCTTTCTTCTCCAAGACCATATTTTGATCCAGAACGTTCGTTAAAAATGGTTATGCTGAGGATGAGCTTAAAATAGGTCGAAAGGTTGGCAGTACCAATTGAGTTTGTTTTTCAACCAGGCCATACCGAACTTCAGGTTATTCGCACTTGAACTTAAAATGCTTTAACTTTAAACAATCTTCTATAAATAATGTTTCAAGCATTAATTCGGATTTTTAACATTGCCAGAGGTACATTTTTAGTATATCAATTTATTTAGTTTTTTATTGGGGGGGGGGGTGCAAAAGTGCTAAAGATAATTCATGGGGGTTTTACGAGACGAAGTTTGTCATTAACTTTAAACCTACGTAAGTATATAATGTATTATATTTATTTAATTTAGTTTTAGATTGAGAAATGTTAACCAAATTGTCCGTCCGTTTGCTTTTATTCGGTGAAAGTGTGTCGGATCGGTGAATAATAAATTTGTAATCGATATCAGCATTGACAATTCCAGGCAAATCACATTTAGAAAGTAAACAACAGCACAATATTTTCTCTTTGGTGGTCAGGTAAAAATCCAGCGGAAAAAAATTGATAACCATCTGGGGACCAAATTTTACGGAAATTGAACAAAGTGAGGTGAAATTATTTTAAAAAAAATCATGAAAAAAATATTTGGTCTGAAACAATAGAAAGTAAGTTTTTAAAATTGATTAATAAGTAAGGTATAATAAAGATAAATTATTCATATGGCAATTTTTCCAAAGGAAAAAGCCAGAAGAAATGAAAAAAAGATAAATATGCACACGCCTTCCGTTAAAAAATTAAAAATTCTTAATTACTTAAACTTTAAACACGCTTCCAAAAATTAAGATTTAAGCATAATCACACTCAAACAAAGCTCAGTTATTAGAAATTAATTTAAATTTTAGATTATTAATTAATGAAAATTACATTTAGTCATATAAGTAGTAAAATTATATGTAGTCAATGTGTATTAATATTGTTAACGTACCTAAGAAAATTAAAGAAAATTGTGGTAGTATAAAATATTTAAAAAATAAAAAATAAAGCAAATACAATTAAGTATGAATCATTAACGAAAATATTGAAGGTATATCTACAACTAGGTTTAAAGTTGGTATTGTAGAAGTTGTAACAAAAAGTACAAAAAAAGTCTTTTCGAGTTTTCTTCTTGGTTTACTTTGCCAGCGCTTCATTTGAAGTGTTGAAGCTTAATTTTGAAAATACAGTTTCATAACAAAGCAAAATATAATAATACTATTTAATAAGTCCTGTTTATAGTGCTTTTAAGGTCTAATTTTCTTGAACTCACTTGATAAGCTTTCTTTTAAAGTATTGACGCTTTATTTCTACAAGCTCGTTTACAAATAAAGCACTTTAAGTCCAAGTTGTGACAAAAAGCACAATAAACAGGATTTATTGTTCATCTTGTAAATTATTTTGTTCGCCTTGCTTGCGCTTGATTTCAAGTGTTGAAGGTTAATTTAGTAAATACATTTTCATAATAAAGGAAAATATAATGATACGGTTTAAGACCTGTTTATAGCGTTTTTACGGTCTAATTTTCTAGAAATTATCTGTGATAAGCTTACTTGTAAAGTATTGACCCTTTATTTCTACAAGCTCGTTTACAGTTAAAGCAGTTTTAAGTCCAAGTTGCGACAAAAAAGCTCAATAAACAGGTGTTCTTTTTGTTGTAACTTTCTTGGTTCACCTAGCTTGTGCTTATTTTTGAAGGGTTGAAGCTTAATTTCGGAAAAAATAGTCTAAAGAATAAAGCTTTATTTCTAGATGCCGGTTAAATTTAAATTTGTTTGAGCCCAAGACGTAAAACAAAAATACAATAAATAGAGCTTTTTTGTGTGACTTTTTCATCGGATACTTGACCTGTGCTTACTTCTTAAGTTATCGAAGCTTAATTTATAATTTTAAAAAAAATATGTCGTATAACAAGCCAAGTTTATCGGGATTTTTGGTTTTACTTTTCTTGACCGTAGCCGTACTTGCTTAATTTAAGCATTATTTGTAAAATTTGGTGCCAATCTACATTATATTCTGTCCTTAACCGAAATTTTTCGTACTATATCAAACCTTTTCTGTAGCAGAAACCACAACCCCTAGACCTTGCCAAATCCCGTTACATTTAAATTCCATTTCAAATTATCTGTTCATCCTAATCCGTTAATTATCTGAACCGTGCCATCTATCACGTCTTCTTCATAGCAGAGCCCTCTCTGTCCGTTCAATTGGCTGAAGCAAGAGGGTGTCCCAGGGATGAGGGACAAAAATATTTTCCCGACACTGTAAATGTTTAACTGTGTCACCACTAGGGAGATTTGCTTATTATATAATATATACACACATATTATGTCGTATGTAGGTGTAAACAAAAATATAAAAACAGATGAAAAGAATAATTAATATGAACAAATATGGATTAATATAAAAACAGAGAAAAAAATTGTTCGTAGGTAAAGTAGTAAAAAAATACGGTAAACAATGTTTTCGTGTTTTTTTAAATTTATTTAGAAGTTTTTTAAATGAAATCTTGATTACGTTTAAATTAATTAATATTTATGAAAGGTATTGGTTGAGATAAAAAAGTCAGTGTCACGAGCGGGATTCGAACCCACGACCTTCGGCTAAATACGCCGCTACTCTACCACGCTATCGTGACTTCGAAGGTCGTGGGTTCGAATCTCGCTCGTGACACTGACTTTTTGATCTCAACCAATACCACCTTTCATAAATATTAATTAATGGAAAAATGTTAATTGGTCAATCGGACCACGAACTGTAATGGATTACGTTTAAAGTTGATGCTTAATTTCAAAATATAATTTTAAAATCAATAAGACGACAATAATTTAGCTTGATAAGGCACATTTTTAGGGCTTTTTAGTACAACCCAGACTTAAGCTACTCTAACTTCAAACCTGCTTTTATAAATAAAACTTCCATACTTGAAAATTAAGCACTAGCAAGAAAGGATTTGTTAAAAAAATGAAAATATAAAAACACAACAAACAAAACTTATTAAGCAGTGATATTACTTTTTAGCTTGTAAATTGACATTTAAATGTAAGCAGAAAGTATGGATCCGTAAAGCAAAGTTAACAGAAAAAGAACAATAACGAGGACTTATTAAGCAGTAATAATATTACTTTTTAACTTGTAAATTGTCATTTAAATGTAAGCAGAAAGTGTGGATCCATAAAAAAGTTAGCAGGAAAAGCACAATAAAGAGGACTTATTAAGAAGTAATAATATTACTTTTTAACTTGTAAATTGTCATTTAAATGTAAGCATAAAGTGTGGATCCATAAAAAGTTAGCAGGAAAAGCACAATAAAGAGGACTTATCAAGAAGTAATAATATTACTTTTTAACTTGTAAATTGTCATTTAAATGTAAGCAGAAAGTGTGGATCCATAAAAAAGTTAGCAGGAAACGCACAATAAAGAAGATTTTATTAATTAGTTATATATTATATTTTACCTTGAAAATTTTTACTCAAACGAAGCACAAAGTATAGATCATGAAACTACATTAGAACAAAAAGCTCAATAAAGAAGATTTTATTATATTATATAATAAATTATATAGTAATAATATATTATATTTTATCTAGTAAATTTCCGTTATATATAATCCATTATATTTATTGGTCTGATTGACCAAATTACTTCTTTCAATTAATTAATCTTGTTATGTAAGGTTTTGGATGAAATGAAAAAAGTTAATGTTACGAGCGGGATTCGAACTCACGACCTTCGGCTCAATAAGCGTATACATTCCTTATATAACAAGGTTATATATAATATTCTACTATTTAATTTATGAAATATATATAATAAACTTTTAAACTTATTAAGCCATATTATTTTTTAACCTTGAAACTAGTAAAAGAATGCTTTATTGTGTAAACGGTAAGTGTAAACCCATTTATATACAGTTAAAGTTTATTGAAATTTTAGATAGGTTGGAAATCATAGAACAAAATGAGATTTAATGAAAAAGTTTTTTGAAAATTTCAAAAGGCGATAAAAATTAACTCTCATTACGACCAAATAATATTCTAGTTTCCATTTTTCTTACAATTCAAGTAGTACTGATAGTTAAAAATTTAATTGCTTTCTTAAAGGAGTGTAAGTATAGTACTGTCAAGCACATCCAAATATGACCTCTTGTTTGGTGTTATATGTCAAAAAGCGTGTTTGATCGAAAAGATCAAGCATTCCGTTGTGAAAATGTTCAAGATATAATAAAAGTTAGTTTTGCAGTACTCACCCCTGCAGACAGTACGTAGAGTTGGTCTCCGTCGAGCCTGAACCCTTTGCTCCGCATCCAAAACCTGAACTTTGAGTTCTCAGCCGAGTTTCGTATCTCCCCTTTCATTGTGTCCACGATCCTCCTGTACTTCTCCCTGGTCACTGTCTTAGTCTTGAATCCGCTCGAGTAGGTTTTGATGGCCCACGACGTGAACACCTCCCTCTGATCCTGAAACATACCGTCGGCACAGGTTGTCTCGTTCCTGCTCGACCTGTGCACGACATAAATTGACAAAAATTGGGTAATGAAACGCGAGAAAGGAACACCTTGTAAGATCCTTGGGAGTTGGTCACAATTTGGGATAAACCACCTCTGATGAGGGGTTGCCAATATTTACCACCCTCGAACGATGTCACCTGTAACATTCAATTTTAATATATAATGTAATTAGAATCAAGCATAACTATATCTCAGGTACGAAATGAAGCATTCAATCTTTTAAAAAAATCTGAAAAAATCTCTTTAGGTTGTAATAGAGGATCTCAATGCTAGACTTTCCTCTAACATCAATCAAAACAAACAGCTTTTTTTTTCAAAACAGAGCCTACGCCTCTAGTGGTTTTTTCAGATTTGAAGGTCCCTTTTTTGCTCCGTGAGCTTTTTATAATATTTGTCAAATGGTGGGGAGCTGGGCGGTTCGGAGGGTCAGGTGAAAAAGGAAGGGGTGGAGATTCTGTGTTGAGAAACTTTAAAGTAGGGGGTCCAAAAAGGGGACTTGAGACAAAATGGCGTGCACGGGTCGCAAAGGGGTAGTTTAAAGGTCCGAAGCAGGAAAGTAACCCCCTCCTCTATTTCGTAAGTCCTGTCCAAAATTATGAATTGTAGGGTTTTTATAATAAAAAAAATTAATTAATTTAATTTACCTATACTATATCTTGTTTATTTTAAGATGATTTTTGAGATAAAACAAGGCCTGTGGGGTGATGAACCTGTATCAGCTACTCTTCATCATCCTCGTCCTCCAGTTTGACTAGTTTTACAAGTATTCGGCTTTCAATACTTGGTCTGTGCGTTATTGTGTTATTTTATTTTATTTTTATTTTTTATTTATTTTATTTATTTATTTTTTTTTGTAATGTGATATTCTGTCTTGTTTTTTTAATTTATTTGTGGAATAGGAAATAAATAGAACACTAAATACATTCTTGATTATTTCTCTCTTTTGTTGATATGTTCACTCTCTCCCTCTCACTCTCTCTCTCTCTTTTCCCCCTCTCTTCCTCTCCTCACACACACACTCTCTCTCTCCCTCACTCATATTCACTCCTATCACTCTGTCTCTCACTCTCTCTCTCTCTTTTCCCCCTCTCTTCCTCTCCTCACACACACACTCTCTCTCTCCCTCACTCATATTCACTCCTATCACTCTGTCTCTCACTCTCTCTCTCTCTTTTCCCCCTCTCTTCCTCTCCTCACACACACACTCTCTCTCTCCCTCACTCATATTCACTCCTATCACTCTGTCTCTCACTCTCTCTCTCTCTTTTCCCCCTCTCTTCCTCTCCTCACACACACACTCTCTCTCTCCCTCACTCATATTCACTCCTATCACTCTGTCTCTCACTCTCTCTCTCTCTTTTCCCCCTCTCTTCCTCTCCTCACACACACACTCTCTCTCTCCCTCACTCATATTCACTCCTATCACTCTGTCTCTCACTCTCTCTCTCTCTTTTCCCCCTCTCTTCCTCTCCTCACACACACACTCTCTCTCTCCCTCACTCATATTCACTCCTATCACTCTGTCTCTCACTCTCTCTCTCTCTTTTCCCCCTCTCTTCCTCTCCTCACACACACACTCTCTCTCTCCCTCACTCATATTCACTCCTATCACTCTGTCTCTCACTCTCTCTCTCTCTTTTCCCCCTCTCTTCCTCTCCTCACACACACACTCTCTCTCTCCCTCACTCATATTCACTCCTATCACTCTGTCTCTCACTCTCTCTCTCTCTTTTCCCCCTCTCTTCCTCTCCTCACACACACACTCTCTCTCTCCCTCACTCATATTCACTCCTATCACTCTGTCTCTCACTCTCTCTCTCTCTTTTCCCCCTCTCTTCCTCTCCTCACACACACACTCTCTCTCTCCCTCACTCATATTCACTCCTATCACTCTGTCTCTCACTCTCTCTCTCTCTTTTCCCCCTCTCTTCCTCTCCTCACACACACACTCTCTCTCTCCCTCACTCATATTCACTCCTATCACTCTGTCTCTCACTCTCTCTCTCTCTTTTCCCCCTCTCTTCCTCTCCTCACACACACACTCTCTCTCTCCCTCACTCATATTCACTCCTATCACTCTGTCTCTCACTCTCTCTCTCTCTTTTCCCCCTCTCTTCCTCTCCTCACACACACACTCTCTCTCTCCCTCACTCATATTCACTCCTATCACTCTGTCTCTCACTCTCTCTCTCTCTTTTCCCCCTCTCTTCCTCTCCTCACACACACACTCTCTCTCTCCCTCACTCATATTCACTCCTATCACTCTGTCTCTCACTCTCTCTCTCTCTTTTCCCCCTCTCTTCCTCTCCTCACACACACACTCTCTCTCTCCCTCACTCATATTCACTCCTATCACTCTGTCTCTCACTCTCTCTCTCTCTTTTCCCCCTCTCTTCCTCTCCTCACACACACACTCTCTCTCTCCCTCACTCATATTCACTCCTATCACTCTGTCTCTCACTCTCTCTCTCTCTTTTCCCCCTCTCTTCCTCTCCTCACACACACACTCTCTCTCTCCCTCACTCATATTCACTCCTATCACTCTGTCTCTCACTCTCTCTCTCTCTTTTCCCCCTCTCTTCCTCTCCTCACACACACACTCTCTCTCTCCCTCACTCATATTCACTCCTATCACTCTGTCTCTCACTCTCTCTCTCTCTTTTCCCCCTCTCTTCCTCTCCTCACACACACACTCTCTCTCTCCCTCACTCATATTCACTCCTATCACTCTGTCTCTCACTCTCTCTCTCTCTTTTCCCCCTCTCTTCCTCTCCTCACACACACACTCTCTCTCTCCCTCACTCATATTCACTCCTATCACTCTGTCTCTCACTCTCTCTCTCTCTTTTCCCCCTCTCTTCCTCTCCTCACACACACACTCTCTCTCTCCCTCACTCATATTCACTCCTATCACTCTGTCTCTCACTCTCTCTCTCTCTTTTCCCCCTCTCTTCCTCTCCTCACACACACACTCTCTCTCTCCCTCACTCATATTCACTCCTATCACTCTGTCTCTCACTCTCTCTCTCTCTTTTCCCCCTCTCTTCCTCTCCTCACACACACACTCTCTCTCTCCCTCACTCATATTCACTCCTATCACTCTGTCTCTCACTCTCTCTCTCTCTTTTCCCCCTCTCTTCCTCTCCTCACACACACACTCTCTCTCTCCCTCACTCATATTCACTCCTATCACTCTGTCTCTCACTCTCTCTCTCTCTTTTCCCCCTCTCTTCCTCTCCTCACACACACACTCTCTCTCTCCCTCACTCATATTCACTCCTATCACTCTGTCTCTCACTCTCTCTCTCTCTTTTCCCCCTCTCTTCCTCTCCTCACACACACACTCTCTCTCTCCCTCACTCATATTCACTCCTATCACTCTGTCTCTCACTCTCTCTCTCTCTTTTCCCCCTCTCTTCCTCTCCTCACACACACACTCTCTCTCTCCCTCACTCATATTCACTCCTATCACTCTGTCTCTCACTCTCTCTCTCTCTTTTCCCCCTCTCTTCCTCTCCTCACACACACACTCTCTCTCTCCCTCACTCATATTCACTCCTATCACTCTGTCTCTCACTCTCTCTCTCTCTTTTCCCCCTCTCTTCCTCTCCTCACACACACACTCTCTCTCTCCCTCACTCATATTCACTCCTATCACTCTGTCTCTCACTCTCTCTCTCTCTTTTCCCCCTCTCTTCCTCTCCTCACACACACACTCTCTCTCTCCCTCACTCATATTCACTCCTATCACTCTGTCTCTCACTCTCTCTCTCTCTTTTCCCCCTCTCTTCCTCTCCTCACACACACACTCTCTCTCTCCCTCACTCATATTCACTCCTATCACTCTGTCTCTCACTCTCTCTCTCTCTTTTCCCCCTCTCTTCCTCTCCTCACACACACACTCTCTCTCTCCCTCACTCATATTCACTCCTATCACTCTGTCTCTCACTCTCTCTCTCTCTTTTCCCCCTCTCTTCCTCTCCTCACACACACACTCTCTCTCTCCCTCACTCATATTCACTCCTATCACTCTGTCTCTCACTCTCTCTCTCTCTTTTCCCCCTCTCTTCCTCTCCTCACACACACACTCTCTCTCTCCCTCACTCATATTCACTCCTATCACTCTGTCTCTCACTCTCTCTCTCTCTTTTCCCCCTCTCTTCCTCTCCTCACACACACACTCTCTCTCTCCCTCACTCATATTCACTCCTATCACTCTGTCTCTCACTCTCTCTCTCTCTTTTCCCCCTCTCTTCCTCTCCTCACACACACACTCTCTCTCTCCCTCACTCATATTCACTCCTATCACTCTGTCTCTCACTCTCTCTCTCTCTTTTCCCCCTCTCTTCCTCTCCTCACACACACACTCTCTCTCTCCCTCACTCATATTCACTCCTATCACTCTGTCTCTCACTCTCTCTCTCTCTTTTCCCCCTCTCTTCCTCTCCTCACACACACACTCTCTCTCTCCCTCACTCATATTCACTCCTATCACTCTGTCTCTCACTCTCTCTCTCTCTTTTCCCCCTCTCTTCCTCTCCTCACACACACACTCTCTCTCTCCCTCACTCATATTCACTCCTATCACTCTGTCTCTCACTCTCTCTCTCTCTTTTCCCCCTCTCTTCCTCTCCTCACACACACACTCTCTCTCTCCCTCACTCATATTCACTCCTATCACTCTGTCTCTCACTCTCTCTCTCTCTTTTCCCCCTCTCTTCCTCTCCTCACACACACACTCTCTCTCTCCCTCACTCATATTCACTCCTATCACTCTGTCTCTCACTCTCTCTCTCTCTTTTCCCCCTCTCTTCCTCTCCTCACACACACACTCTCTCTCTCCCTCACTCATATTCACTCCTATCACTCTGTCTCTCACTCTCTCTCTCTCTTTTCCCCCTCTCTTCCTCTCCTCACACACACACTCTCTCTCTCCCTCACTCATATTCACTCCTATCACTCTGTCTCTCACTCTCTCTCTCTCTTTTCCCCCTCTCTTCCTCTCCTCACACACACACTCTCTCTCTCCCTCACTCATATTCACTCCTATCACTCTGTCTCTCACTCTCTCTCTCTCTTTTCCCCCTCTCTTCCTCTCCTCACACACACACTCTCTCTCTCCCTCACTCATATTCACTCCTATCACTCTGTCTCTCACTCTCTCTCTCTCTTTTCCCCCTCTCTTCCTCTCCTCACACACACACTCTCTCTCTCCCTCACTCATATTCACTCCTATCACTCTGTCTCTCACTCTCTCTCTCTCTTTTCCCCCTCTCTTCCTCTCCTCACACACACACTCTCTCTCTCC